ATAAATGTCAAGTCAAAGGATATGGAAAAGTAACAAATGGGAAATTCACAGTGAATAGGGTAGCTTATGTCGAAGGTCCAACATAACTTGATAAGTGTTTCGCAACTTGTTGTGGGCACTGGCAATCAAGTGGTGTTTAATGAAGAAGGATGTGTGATTTCGAACATAGATACAAAGTTTTGCTTAAATCAAAAAGAAAAAGCGATATGTTTACTCTCGACATCAACCAATTGTTGGGATTCCCTCGGTGTGCTTACTTTCGAAAGCTTCATATATACATACATACATACATATATATATATATATATATATATATATATATATATATATATATATATATGGGGTTGGGTTCAACAATGAACAATTTTAAACCTTAGAACCAAGGAACCAATCTTTTCTCAACTTTTTGAGCAAATTTTTCATCAAAAAAAAAACTAAAAATATTGATATTTATAACTTTTTATCATCCATCCATTCATATCAAATTTGATAAAAAAAATTTGATCTTTTCAGATTCACACTGTGAATTTGTTCAGATTCACATTGTGAAATCTGTGCAGATTCACATTGTGAAATCTGTGCAGATTCACATTGTGAAATCTGTGCAGATTCACATTGTGAATCTGTTCAGATTCACATTGTGAATTTGTGCAGATTCATACAGTGAATTTATACAAAATTAATGATTTATAGTGTAGATTCACAATGTGAATCTGAACAGATAAAAAAAGTAAAAAAAAATTATCAAATTTGATATCAATGGAAAGAAGATAAAAAGTTATGAATTTCTAAATTTTTAGAATTTTTTATCGATAAATAATAAGATCTAAAACTTGAAAAAGTAATGGTTCCTTGGTTTTATGATTTAAAATGGTACATTGTTAAACTTTTTCATATATATATATATATATATAATATATATATATATATATATATATATATATATATATATATATAAACCACTTATTTTTTATGTAATTAATCTCGTAAAATGACCTGGCATACCCTCCACACACACACACACACACACATACACACACACACACATATATATATATATATATATATATATATATATATATATATATATATATATATATATATATATAATGGAATGGCGGTAAGGAGTAAGTACATTTCTCATATGAGAGGTCATGAGTTCAAGTCTCGGTGGAGACATAGGTGGTTATTTAGAAGTAGGTATATATATATATATATATATATATATATTAATGAATTTGAGAACGTGACAACAAATCTGAACCACTTTTTTTTAATTAATCTCATAAAATAATCTCGCATACCCTTCCCCCATTGTACCAATACTTAATCAAATCCGTTTGAAGATACACCATCACATAGACCATCATACCATCATAAAGACCATCAGACCACCGTAAATCTGCCATCGGACAGCCGTCGACTGATGAATGGTAGAGTTGATTGTGATCTCCGACCACTCATAGAAAAATTCCAACCGTTTTTTTCTTGAAGGTGTCGTTTAGTTTGCAGATTGTTTACAAAGATATTGGAATATGTCAATGAATTAGAATTTATCATGAATTTTAATCTGATTCCATAAATAGTTTGGTTGTCAGAAAATAGAATTGGAACCCAATTCCATATTCTATTTGGTTGCAAGGAAATAAAATTGTAATTTTATAAAATGACATAATTTTCCTTATTTGTTTTGCTTAAATTTACTTTCTTTTATAAGTTATACTAGACGAATTCTCGCGCGTTGCGCGGCGCATATTAAAAATAGATTGTTAAAATATTGAAAAATATATGTTTAAAATGGTTATTTATTGACATTAACTTTGACATAATATTTTTACACTAAATTATATATAAAATCTCAACTATTTTAAACAATATTATTCATTGACATCAACCCACCTTCCTCATTAATAGAATTAAATATAATTATCTATTTAATATTATTTATAAAAAATATTATGATTGATTAATTTAAATTTTTTACTTATGCGATTATTTTTTAATTTTAATAATGATGATCATTTAGAATACAATTTATTTGTAGCTAACGTTACATAATTTTTAATTTGATGTTATTATCATTTAAAATTATTGTTTATTAACTTAAACCACTTATTATTATTAATAATTTAAAGAAGACTTTTAAGAAACACTAAATATTATTACTCAAATATGAAACATATACTAAATACTAAAGTGATAAGATTGACAATTTACATTTTAAAATAGACTTTCATGGATAATATAAAATATCCATGATTTTTCTAATTTACCATTTATTATTATTATTATTATTATTATTATTATTATTATTAAGTGAAAGAAAAGTTTTAAAAAGCACTTACTATTATAATTAAAATGCTAAACATATACTAAGATATAAAGTGATAAGATAGACAATTTGCATTTTAAAAGAGACTTACATGGATAATATGACATATCCATGATTTTTAATTATTTATTTTTTTGAAGCAACACAAATATACAAACATGTATATAATATCTAATTAAATATTATTTATATCACATTCCATAACATATGATTGATAATATGAATCTAATCTAATTTACATTTAAATTTCAACCAAGACAACAATGATTGTCTTAAAAGAATACTTAAACCAAGAAATATATATATATATATATATATATATATATATATATATATATATATATATATATATATATATATATATATATATATATATATATATATAAAAGGATTAGTATATAACAAACTTACAAATTAAGAACTTTAACATAATAACATGGCTCGAAAATGGTTCAAAGCCCTCAAACCAACACAAAAACCTTTAAGCTTGTTTTCTTTGTGAATTTTGTATGTGATTTGTATTTGTGTTTCTACTCAAAGAGATTGACCTTTTATAGTAGACTATCCATTAATTGCTTATTAAACATATTATATAAGTTATAAACTTTTGAATAGTTAATCATTATTAAGAGACTTTTGAGTAGTATTCATTTAAATAGGAGGTTTCAAATGAATATGGTTTGAGTAAAAATATAAGTTGAATAGCCTTGGAAGTTTCAAATGCATGAGGTTCAAGGAAAAATGCTAGCTTTATAAGATATATAGATGTGGTGGGTGATGGTGGCGGTGGTTGTGGTGGTGGTGATGAATGGTAGCGGTTGCGTTCTGGTGGTTGTGTTGGGTGATGGTGGTGGGTGGTGATTGTAGTAATGGTAATGGTGGTGGTGGCGACAGATGGTTATGGTGGTGACTGCGATGGTCGTTGTCGCAGGTAGAAGCGATTGTAGTGGTGGTAGATGTGGTGGCAGGTGACGATGGCGGTGGAGGTGAATGATGGTGGCGGTGACAGATGGTGGCGGTGATGGATGATGGCGGTGAAGGATGGTAGTGATGGCGGTGGTGATGAAGGATGGTGACGGTGACGACCGATGGGGGTGAAGGATGGTGGAGGTGGCGGCGGATGGTGGAGGTAACGGTGATGGAGGTGGTGGTGGCGACGATGGTGGTGGTGGTGACTGCGGTATTGGTGACGGCAACGATGGTGACGGGTGGTGGTGGTATTGATGGTGACGGTGGTAGGTGGTGGTGGCAGTAGCGGTGGCGGTTGGTGATCGGTGACAGTAGTGGTGGGTGTTGGTAGTGATGGTCGTAGAAGGTAATGGTAATTTTACACTTTCCTTCATGAATTGGAATTAATTTGATCTAAAATTTGAATGAATTCACTTTCATTCATTTGGTGAAAAAAAAATTCATTTAGAATTCCTATTCCATCTAAAAATGTTGAATCAAACACTAGAATCAAAATGTGGTGAAATTAGATTCTATTTCCCCCAATTTCATTACATTCCAACGAAGCAAACAACCCGTAACTATTCTTAATCGGTTGAATTGAGAGTATCACTTCATTCATATTTCATACTCTTCCCTCGAGACCTATATTGCTCCTATACTCATTAAATCGAAGAAACCTCATTGCTCCGATTCTGTAGGTATCCGCAAATCCATTTATGTTTGTTGAATTTACTGTTTCTCTCTCTTCGCTTTCACTTTTCGATTGATTTTTTTATGTTGTCTTGTATTTTCATAATTAGAAGGTATCCTGCGATGTTTTGAATTATGTTTTGTAGTTTAGCCTGGAATCTTATCATGTTTGTGGAACTCCCTTTTTGGTTCTTTTGTTCCTATCGACGTTTGTAAAGGGTGTTATCTCACAACCGTCATGTTTTCTTTCTTTTAGGTTGCTTAGTTGTTTAGTAATTCAGCCTAAAGATCTTTTAATATTGGGGAATGTCAGCTTGCATTAAAAGGAGGGAATAGCCGACTTTTTAGAACTGTCATTTCCTTTGCTTATACTTCCAAAGTTACACCCTTAACTATTACATAATTGCAAGTAAATCCTTACTCTCCAAATCATACCAATATATACATGTTGCAGTTACTTTCCAAATTATACTTAAGAACCGAACTTCATAGAATACATGTGCAGTTACTTTTATGTACGTAGAATATACCATTTAACTTTCTAAATTATACTAAAGAACCGAACTTCATAGAATACATAACATTTCTCAAAATTATATTTCACTTAACATAGATAATTGGCTTAAAATGCTCAAGATGTTGCATGAATGTCCTACATTTTGCAAGGATTCTTAATGAAGAACCAAATTAATTCGCAAATATATCTTTACATTAAACTCATTGTATCATTTTAAAGAACAAACATGGCATAAGCTTTCAGAATCCCTTAAGGTCAAAATAATAATCTCTTGACGCCATGTTGAATCCAAAGATGTTACTTGACCCTTTCCCAATTCGAGTGTAGGGATGTTCATTAAGTTCCTTGAAGAACAAATGTTATTGGTAATTAATTAAGTTGATGTCATCTCTATGAAAATTTAAGTAAAAAGAGCATTGTTTTTTGAGAAGATAAGTAAATATACATTGTTGACTTATACACAAAGAATATATGATGTTGGACACAAAATATACACAATGAATATATCATGTTGGAAATATATAAATAAAATTATCCTCAATGAACTAAAAATAAATACAATAATTTTAGGTAGAAACATATATCATGTTGGAATGTTGGAATACATACCAAAAATACATCATGTTGAAAATATATTCAACTTATTGATATTTAAATTCAGTTTCAAGCATTCCCATGATGGCAGCATTGATGGATGTTTTTCACGATCTCTTCAACGACGATCATTGTTCTTGCGGATACACAACCTTTCACGCAATACTTCAACAACATCATACCAAAAGAGTAAACATCTTATGTTTGTTAAAAACATGGTCTCCACGTACTATGGATCACAACAACCGACTGTATCCACGACGAAGCAAGATGGACAAAAACACCAAAAGAGTAAACATTGAATTACAATAACCAACTATATCTAAAAAAAATATGAACTAAATTTGAACCGACAAATATCATAGATCTTTGCATGCTAATTTTCCTCTAATAGGATGTTGGACTTTTAATATCACGGTGCAATACTCTAAGTTGGGTCTCGATAGAAATATGAAGGTATGCTAATCCACGAGTCAACCCAATTATATTGTATAAGTAAGTCTAAAATTCTCTTAGATGTATACTTATACACAACGATATTATCATCAACTTCAATCATCGTTACCAGAAATATGCATCAAATTTGAATGTATTTCTAAAATCTGAGATTTTAGGTTCCAAGTTTTATCTAATAAGATGTTGGAGCTCTTGATATCACGATGGACCATTGTAAAAATCAGTCTCCGCTAAATTATGAAGGTGGTCTAACCCACAAGTAGTCATCCCAATGCAGATCTTCTACATCTTGCGCAAGTTAAATCATTGCTATTGAGATGCAAGTCTAGACCTCTCTCATACACAAGGATCTTCCCATCACTCATATACCAAAACCCTAAAAGATGAACTGAGTTTTCTTGTTTATGAAAAGAAATCATTGTTCCAAAACTACTGAGTTTTTCCCTAAAAGATAAGAGGATTAACATAAACTACTAATCAGCAAGAAAGAAATATCTGATATATATCTGAAACAAGTTAACAAGCAGCTAACCCTTAGTCATCTCTCCCACACGATAGACCAGCCACCCGCCAATTAGCAATTGCAGTAAAAATTGTGTATCTTCAGCAATTTAAAACTATTACGATCTAAATTCAACTTAGGCCCTATTCATCTTTTGCATTTCAGCTGTGAAAACAAAATTTCCATCTGGGTATTACGCTAGATTACAAGAAATATCTAAACGACTTTACCAGATGTGAAATAAAGCCTCGAGACAAATTCATCGGCGTCGAAGTAGCAGCAAGCGTCATTGTTGCAGTTTTGTTGTAGCGGCTAGAGGGAAGTAGGGTTTGTTGAAGTTTCATTTGCTTCCAAGCTCCGATATTTATTCTGTTGGGGTTTTACTTAAAAAAAAAAATTTCCTTTTTTTTTTCGGATTTTCCATTTTAATATGGATTGTGTTTGGTAATCGGAGATTAAGTATAATATCTACGAAATGACAGTGGATTTTTGTTAATTATAATCTTTTGTTTGGGGGTACGATTTAAATGGGAGTTAAATGAAATCAGAATTGAAATTTGAAAGAATATAAATTTTGCTGAATTCAAATGTATAGCTTTTGGATTAGAAATAATGAAATGAAATTTTTAAAATGTTACTAACGATAAATTGTCGTTCCTAAAAAAAAGTTACAAAATTATCTTTAATTACTTTTATAAATTAGCTTTATATACATTTATGAAAATCTATATTTTCTAATTTATACCGATAAATGAAAATTTATTTTGTCGTATGTTAAAAGTGTTTTTTTATTATTTTATTGTTAGCCTAATAAGATTTTGAGTTTTATCTTGTATTGGGTTTTATGTCTGGGCCTTGTAGCTAGGAAACCCTAATTAGCTTCTCTATGTATTATGTCTTTCCCTTTTCATTGTATTTTTTTACTTCTCATTTGATAATAATATGAAATCCTATCTATTCTATATTTTGTTAAGTTTTCATGGTATCAGAGCTCGGTTGATCGTCTGTAATTTCGTTTTGGGGGCGAGTAGCGTACTGTTCACGACGCTGTTCATCCACACTGTTCATCGACACTGTTCACGTTACTGTTTATCGTAATTTTAGGTATGGTTTCTTGCTCGTTTCTGTATTCAGTTTGATTTAATTTGTTCATTAAGTCGGTTTCGAGGGTTTCGTTTCGTCTGTTGGTTTGTTGATTTCGAGATCTTGATTATTTCTGCTGCTACTTGTATTTACTGTTTGACTGATATTGAAATATGGCCCCAAGAGATGATTCTCTTCAGTCCATTGTTATTCAACTTGATGGCAAAAACTATGCATATTGGAGTTATGTTATGAAAAATTTCTTGCGAGGCAAGACTATGTGGGGGATTGTTACAGGTGACAAGAAGAAACCAACAGACGAGAAGGTTAATAATTATGCAACCTTACTCGATTCATGGGAGACTGATAACTCCAAGATCATTACTTGGATTAATAATTCTGTTATCCAGTCTATTGGTACTCAATTGGCGAAGTATGACACATCAAAGGAGGTTTAGGATCACTTGGCTAGGTTGTATACTCAGTCTAACTTTGCAAAGCAGTATCAGTTACAGTTTCATATTCGAGCCCTCCAACAGAACAATCTTAGTGTTCAAGAATTTTATGCAGCTATGTCGGATTTGTGGGATCAGTTGGCTCTTACAGGACCTGATGTGTTGAAGGCTTTTAAGCCTTATATTGATAGAAGGGAAGAGAAACGTTTGGTTTAGTTCTTGATGACATTACGTTCAGATTTTGAAGGTTTGCGCGGATCAATCTTGCATCGCACACCTCTTCCCACTGTTGATTCGGTTGTTCACGAGTTGATTGTTGAAGAAGCTCATATAAAGTCCCATGCTGACAAAGATCTCAAGACAGCAACTCCTGTTGTCTTTGTTGTTCCACAACGACTTCAGTCTTCAAACCAGAATCGTCCTAAAGTTTCATTTGATGAGTGTGCTTTCTGTAAGAAGAAGAACCATTGGAAGGAAAATTGTCCTTTGCTGACAAATAAGGGAAACCAGCAGCAACAGCAAACGAGATCACCTGCACAGCACAGTCTCAGACTTCACAACAGAATATGTCTTTTGGACAGTCACGTCCCTAGAAACCCTACTAGCCATTGGAAGTGAGTTTGAGCTTGGAGTGTCAAAAGGAAGCCATTTTTTGGTGTGTTTGCAAGGAGAAGAGCTTGTGGTCCAATTCTTGAACGTGGTGAAGCTTCTAGATCTAGCATTTCCTTTATCTTAGGGAGCTTCTGGAGTGTGAGATTTTGGATTGGTAGTCGAGCAGCTATTGTTTTCAGCAGACTGAGGTGAGTCTTCTCATTGTACCAATGGGTCAAAGGAACCAATGACATCCCACTACTTGATATGTGGTCTTAATAGTTGATATGCAATGGTTTTGTTAGATGGCATGTAATGACTTATGTGAAGCCCATGGGGGGGGGGGGCATGACACCTGGTTATCAGACCATGGGGGGAGCCCATGCCATTCCAGGTAAAGACCATGGGGGAGCCCATGACACTTGGTTATCAGACCATGGGGGAATCCCATGGCATTCCAGGTGAAAACCATGGAGGGAGTCCATGGAAATTCTATATATATGTTGCATGGTATTATGTGGTTGTATGTTTTGTGTATTTTGGGAACTCACTAAGCGTTTGCTTACAGTTTGTTGGGTGTTTTAGATACTTCTGGTTCTAAGGGGAAGGATTCGGCTTGATGGCGCAGCATACACTCTCCAGTATTTCCGCATTTATTGTTTTGGACACTCTGATCTTTTGGATATGATTTGATATAATGGAATTTTGGGAAACAAAACATGATTGTAATTTCTAAATATTAAATGAAAATTTTTACCTAAATTTTCGGGCTGTTAGAAGTCGGTATCAGAGCCTTGGTTTGAGGGATTTGGACCCGAGAGAACTCAAACTGAGGAAATGGTAAACCTTTTTCAAAAGAAACAAAAGTTAAGTTTTTATGAAAATGGTTTTCTTAAGTAAAAAGGAGAGTGCAATGTGCGAAATCGGCCGAGCTCAAATAAGTGTTTCCCAATGTATTAACCATGCTAGAAATATATTCTTGGAAATCGATGTTGACTTGGTTATTTGCTAAGTGTATGCTTTCAAAGTTGTATATGTCTAGGATTGCATATCCCTAGAATGATGGATTCTGCCTTATTTCATGTTCCTTGTTTGGTTGTGGTTTTAGGGTAGAAGCTTTATTTGACAGTCTATGTGATTCTATTTGTGTATAACTTGCATGTATTGGGCAACCAGCAGTGTTGATTTAGGTTTCCGGTTCTGTGAGGATTGAGAAATCCTAGGGTAGTCTAGGAAAATTGTATATTTTATGTTTTATGGGTCATGTTTAGTTTGTGGTTGGGTGAATTAGAGGTATCAGGTATGGCTTTGGGGAAAGTATAGGTAGGTGTGGAAGGTAGTATTGGGCCTGTACTACTGAAAGCACATGACTTGTACCTGAAACAAGGACAGACCTGGAAGCTCTGAGGAGTCTGGTGAGGAGGAATCCCTTCGAACTTCCTTATCAATTGCTCTTTATGTCGTATTTGTTTCAGTTGAGGATGGTGATGATTACGCGAGGAGGTTCAGGTTCGGGATCAGGTTCAGGCTCTGGTGCAAATCCGATTGATGAGAGGCTGTGCGAGCTTATCGCGGTTGAGGTTACTTGCGGCATCCTTGACGCTACCCCGGTGATCTTTGGTACCGTCAAGGAGGGGATCATGGAGATTATGGAGGAGCGGCTCAGGTCTTTTCGAGCCGAGATTTTTGCGGGTCAGATTGGGACTCGAACTCCCTCATTCCAGGAGTTCAAGGCGTGTGGTGCGCCTGAGTTCTTTGGGGTTAAGGACCCCATCGCTAGTCGCCGCTGGGTTGCTGACATGGAGAATGCCTAGTGTACGAGCTTTTTCCCCGAGGCGGAAAAGGTGGGGTTCACATCCTGTATGCTGAGGGATCGGGCGCGAGACTGGTGGGAAGAGGTTACCCACGAGGTAACATCGGTGGGTGTGGTTGAGATGACATGGGAGGAGTTTGTGCGTAGGTTTGATCGGGAGTTTTCACCGGGACTTGATGTGCAACGGTTGGTGAGGGAGTTCCAGGACCTTCACCAGACCACGGAGTCTGTGGCGGCGCCAGGTATAGAGAGAGAGCACTGTTGGTACTGCAGTACGGTGCGGATGAGGAGATGAAGAAGACGAGATATCATGCCATGCTGAGGGATGATATCTGGGAATTCGTGAGCTTTTCAGGGTGCAAGACCTTGAATGACATGGTTCAGACGGCAGTGGGTCAGGCTAAGAAGCCTAAGACCTCTGATCCTCCTAGCATAGGACAGCAGGGTCGGGGTCGCTGTGCCAAGTGCGGCAGGCCGCACAGTGGAACCTGTCGGGCAGAAGGCTCGGCATGTTATACTTGTGGCTAGCCGGGCCACATGATCACGGATTGCCCCAAGAAGGGCATGATTTGTTTTCACTGCAACCAGACCGGTCATAAAAATGCTGATTGTCAGAGGTTTTCTGGAGAAGCAGTGGCGGCGCCTGCGCCCGCCACAATGAGGATTACGGATGGCCGCCCGATCAAGGCGGAGGCTCCTGGAGTGAAAAGTAGGGCATTTCAGCTTACTACAGAGGAGGCCCGAGCAGCGCCGGATGTCGTGACTGGTATGTGACCTATTTCTATCTTATTTATTTTATTGTTATGCTTATGTTGTTATTGAAGGGTTTTGAGCATTCTAACAGTCCTATGGTGTACATGCAACCCTAGATGCTTTGGATCTATGTTTTCTCTATTATACATGCATACATTTAATATTCCAAAGCATCATCCTAACTAGCATACAATGAAGCATAAACAACATGAAATACAAGTTAGATGACATACCTTTTAGTGTAGTTGGAACCTTGGACCTTTAAGAACATAGTGCCCCAGATGTTGCACCTCAAATGGAATCACAAAACACCACCAACAATTTAGGAACTTGAGAAGAGGTCACTTGCACTCATAAAATCGGCTTGCCCTCTTGTGTTTCCACTAGTGTCAATTTCATGAGCTAGAGGGGTTCTTATATAGTGTGGCTTAATTAGGGTTACACCATGCAAACCCTAATGTGCATGACCTTCCATATTCCTCATGCTCCATGGGTTTAAACCCCCATGGATCATCCATGAGTTACCACATGGGTTTAGCCCAACACAAGGAACTATGGATCACAAGCCCACATTATAAGAATGAATGATTTACATAATCAATCCCCATATATTTAATTAGTCTCTTTTGATCACAAAATTAATTCCAAACTAGT